TGTACAATACAGGAGATTTATGTGTTATCATCTTATTTTTAACATATTTAATTCTATATAATTTTTGTCATAAACATCAAGAATGATGCCATTTCTCTTTACTTTTTTATGTTTAAAATTATTAAATTGGCATAGTGTTCTTTATCCCCAAACTATTTTCTCAAACCTCCTGATTTTTGTTATTAAACTCTGGTATTTAGAGCAAAGATATTTAATAGTAAATCATGGTTATTCTATGCATTTTGCTGGGGGTTGTTTTTGTTTTTTGTTGTTTTTTTGAGACAGGGTCTCACTTTGTCACCTTCAGTAGAGTGCTATGGTGTCAGAGCTCACAGCAACCTCAAACTCTTGAGCTCTCACATTAATTGAGGGAATTGATAGATGTGGCAGAGTTTTGGTCATCTTGTTTTTCGTAATTCCAGACCTTAATTTTCATAAGTCCCACCACTGTGGAAGGTAGGCTTTGTTCCTTAATTTCTGGGTAGGTTTATTTGGTAGTGTGCCCTCCTGTTGCTTGTTATGAAGAATGTGTCCGAGTATTTCTTGTAGAGCTGGTCGAGTCATGGCAAATTTCCTCAGCATGTGGATGTCAGTGAAGTATTTGATTTTTCCATCACAAATGAAACTCAGTTTAGCAGGGTATAGGATCCTGTGCTGGAAATTGTTTTGCTTAAGAAGGTTGAAGGTCAATGACCATCCTTTTATGGCTTGGAAAGTTTCAGCTGAAAGATCTGCAGTCATCCTTATACGTTTCCCTCTGTAAGTAATACTTTTCTTATGCTGGGCTGCTTGCAGAAGTTTCTCCTTCATGTTAACTTTGGCAAAATTAATTACAGTGTGTCTAGGAGATGTTTTGTTTGGATTGAGTCGTGTTGGGGTTCTGAAACTATCTACTCTCTGAATTTCTGTATCTCATGAAATACTTAAGGAAATTCTCCACCATAATGTCTTGGAGCAGAGAATTTGTGCCTTTGGGATCATCCTCTTCTCCTTCAGGAATCCCTGTGATTCAGATGTTTGATTTCTTGGAATTATCCCATAACTCCCTCAGGGAATATGCTGTTCTTTTCTCCATTTTTCTGCCTCTTTGGATGCTTGAAATAGTTCAAAAGTCTTTTCTTCTTTATCTGAGATCTTCTTCACACTACTCAACTCTATTTCTGAGGAACTCTGCTGCATTTTGAAGCTCCCCAGATACCTTTTGCAATTCCTTCAGCTCTGATGATCCTTGCTCATCAGTGTCTATATCATTGGTGACTTTGTCTTTGAATTCATTAATTTCTTGAGACAACTTCTGAACTATTTTTTGGTCCTCTGTTTCCATCTTTTTCTCCAGTCTAATTATCTTATTTGCCATCCATATTCTAAATTCTATTTCTGCCATTTCAGTGATTTCTCTGTGGATGGGATTCTCTGTTGTATTTTCTTTAATGTCCCCAGGAGGTGTTGCTCTGCTCTGATTTTTCATGTTGCCAGAGTTCTTCAGCTGATTCCTCCTCTTGAGTATTTTTAGCTTCTTCCTCTTTTTCTCTTTTTTAATATATACATATATTTTTGAGATAGAGTCTCACTATGTCACCCATGGTGTCACTGCTCACAGCATCCTCAAACTCCTGGGCTTAAGAGATTCTCCTGCCTTAGCCTCCCAAGTAGCTGGGACTACAGGCACCCACCATAATGCCCGGCTATTTTTTGGTTGCAGGTGTCATCATTGTTTATTGTTTAGCAGGCCCAGGCTGGGCTCAAACCTGCCAGCTTCGGTGTATGTGGCTGGCACCCTACTCATTGAGTTACAGGGGCTGAGCTGTCTCTTTTAATATGTTAATTGCACTTTTTTAGTTGAATTGAGAGGTTCTCTCCACTGCTTACTGTTGCAGTGTGCCACCACTGCACTGTTGTTCTTTTCTGCTTTCTTGTTTCTGCTGCTTGATTCAGCCTGAGTGATGTGGACCTCACACAGTCCTCTCAGTGCAGAGCTCCTCACATTCGGCTTTTGTCCTCTTCAGCCCATTGTCTCTCCTTTTCATCACGAGCTTCTGGTAAAAGCTGCTTCTGATCAGCCATCTTCCCATAATTCCTCCTCCCCAAAATTGCATTTTTAAAACTCTGTTTTATAGAGGTATAGTTTACTGTGCCTGTTTCCGGTTCACCATGGATGAGCTTTGACAGACCCGTATACCCATCACCCCCCAGCCCTACTCGAGGTACAGAACCTTCCATCACTCCAGAGGGCCTCCTTGTCCCCCTCATTGCTTTAATAGCTTCTCTATCAGCACCTTACTCATTGCCCGGTCTTGCCTCTGGGTGATTGATTTAGTCTTCAGCCATGTTTTTCCTGTTTTCTCCCTGGTTCTGAATTACATGTGAGATCTGTGATAAAGGTGTTGTGTTTCAGCTTTGTTTCCTCGGCCCCTCAGTCTTCCACCCCATTCTGTTGTTTCACCGTCTTATCTGTAAGCTCTCACAGTTGCACCCTGATAACTCTTTCTAAGATCCTCCATTGTACAAAGATGCAGGAAACATATCCTGTTCCTCTGGTTATGTTTTGTCCAGACTTGGCTTTTCAAATGTATGCCTTTCTTTTTTTATTAATACAAATTACCAGGTATAAGGAGCAGGTTTCAGGATTGTGTGAACACTATAACAACTTTTATTAATAAAAAATAGTACATAGAAGAAAATTAGGCATTTTTTTTTAGTTGTTATGGATCGTTTTTTGACCCCTAAAGCATTCATGCTTAGTTTGCACAGCTCTGACATCTACTTTTTTAAGAGGACTTTTAAAAGCATCATTTTAAACCAACTTGAAACATACAGGAAACCTAGGAAAACATTGAGTCTAACCATTATTTGCCCTGTTTGGGAGTTGAGGTGAACTTTCCCACTCATCTCATCTCCTCTCAGGACTCTCAGTCACCAAGGCACAGAAGTCCAATTTCAATGAAGATATCTACTTCCCAATTTTTAAGTCTGCATTACTAAGGAAAAACAGAGAGAAAAATTGGTGACCATGAGGTAGAGTATATGAACATGGGTAGAAAATTTAAACCTTTTGAAGGTGTAAAGGACTTCAGTTCCTGACACTTGCAATTGTTTCCAGAAAATAGAAATTATACACAAACCAGCATAGATAGATATATATGCTATATATACAAACACACACAGTACATATCATAAACTATACACACGCACAGTAAATAGCATCAACTATACACACAGTATATAATATAAACTATACATATACACACAGTGCATAACAAACTATACACACACAGAGTATGTAATATAAACTATACACACACACCCCTCTATGCACTTTAGTGTTTAAACAAAAGAGATCACAGTGTATTAATTTTTCCAATATTTATTTCTTTAAGAGAGGGCTATTTCTTTTCAATTCATATGGGCCCACCTCCTTTTAAGTGACTGTGTAGTATTCATTATGTGGAATGTCTCCTTTCCAGTTCTGCCATGAGAGTGTCAAGGAAAGAAAAGAGTAAATATCAAGTATTACTCCATCCTGGGGAGTGGAGCAGGTCTTCTTGATTAGAGAGTAGAGTTCCCTGCTAACAATTTTCAGCATGATCCCAAGAAGTCTTACATTTATTGCTATTTCTTTGTGGAACTCATCTATGGCAGTGGTACTTCATTCTGCCTGTTGGGGATAGACTATTGTAGATAACTGTAATGAAAGGTTCCCTGGAGAAAGAAGGGTGGATGCCTCTGTGGGAACCTTACAACTCTGTCTTTCAGAGGTTTTGAGCATTCAGCTTTGGGATTGCATCTTAAACAAACATCTCAGCAGTATTTTCTTAAGTTATTTAGTAGAACATTATTCCATGGTGTCTGTATTCATCTAACTTTATTAAATGATGTGCATAATGGTCCTATCTTAAGTGTTTATAGTATGCATGTGTCATTGGAAAAATTTATAGTGAATAAAGTTGTTGAAAATTATTAAACCCAAAGTTTTCAAAACCTATTCTGCCACTGAATACTTTGTCAGTATTTTATGATACAAAGTGTGGCTTCAGATTATTTTAGAAAGGTAAAGGATAGTGGAACCTGATCAAAACCTGGCTTAAATATATCTCTCTGTACTGATTGTGTGTTTTTAATTTAGTCCAGGAGTCAGCCTTTGCAGGCCAACAACCTCCTCACAAACACTCAGCTCTGCCATGTGGCAAGAAAACTGCCGTGGATGAGAAGCATCCACCATGCACATGGCCAGGTCCCAGTGAACCTTCAATTATCAACACTCAAATTTGAATTTTATGTAATTTTCACATATCAAAAGTATCCCCCCCAATAGTTTAAAAATGTAAAAATTATTCTAGGTGATGGGCTATCCCAAAACAGGAAGGCCAGATTTGACCTGTAGGCCATAGCTTGATGACTTTTGATTTAGTGGATAATAACTCAAGGTAATAAATAAATGTTTTGTTCAGCCAGCCTGTCAATACTGTTTATGTTTTCAGGAGATTGATAACTTTACTGTATTTATATGTTAAACATATAAGAATATTAAAGCTTCAACTAGTCTGTAAAAAGCATTTAAGTTATCCTACAATAGCTCCTAATTATTGAGACAGTTTATTACTACTCTGCCTGTTACAAAAGATAAGCTTAATAAAGATTTACTGAATAAATGTTGGTGAAAATCTTCATATTATAAAAGAAATCAGATTAGAAATTATCTCTACATGAAGGTCTATTCATTACTAAATCCTAAAGGAAATCTTTGTAATGATGTTTTGCAAAGGTCCCAGCACAAAATTTGGTTTGTAAAGTGCATGCAAAAGAGGAGTCTCTCCTTAGTGAAGAATTCTTTCTGTTGCTAATAAGATTTGAAAGTTTGTTAACCACTTAGGTGACCATCAACAAAAGTATGGCAAGCTGGTTGTTTTGCCTTCACTGAATGCTTGCTGCTCCTCCTTTTTGTGGGCCTCTATCTAATGACCATCATTGTCCTCCTCTGGTGGCTCCCTGTTTTTCCCCAGGTTCATTCCAGAACCCTGGTCAGCGTGCAGCACCACGTGTGGGCCAGGTATTCAGGTCCGAGAGGTGAAGTGCCGCGTGCTCCTCACGTTCACGCAGACGGAGACCGAGCTGCCTGAGGAAGAGTGTGAAGGCCCCACGCTGCCCACGGAGCGGCCCTGCCTCCTGGAAGTGTGTGATGAGAGCCCGGGCTCCCAAGAGCTGGACAGTCCTCTCCACGAGGACGGTGAGATGACTTACGACTGGGAGTATGCAGGGTTTACCCCTTGCACTGCGACATGTTTGGGAGGTACGTGAACCTTTGCTTGAGGGACAGTTATGTGTATATTGCTAATGAGAAATACTTGTAATTTGAGACATTACTAAGTCAAGTAAGCCAAAGCATGCAAATTAGCAAAAGTCTGAAAGAGGTGATATCATTCAAATAACTGAAAAACTGCTTTTTCTTTCTCTTAGTGATTATTTTAGAAAGGTAAAAGATAGTGGAACCCGAACAAAAAAGCGATTTTTTTTTTTTTGGCTTAAGAATCTGCATATTTGAAGTGGGGAGGGACTCAGGGGTTAATATGGAATAAATACGAGAAAAAAGAATGGATAAATTGAGGCAATCTTGTGCACAAAGTCAGCCTTACAGATCAAGGTAGCCTGGCACTGTCATATCTGATACGACTCTTGGTGAGAAGTCATCTTCAGAAATGTTTAGGGTGCTGAGTGCAGTGGCTCATGCCTATAATCCCAGCACTCTGGGAGGCTGAGGCAGGTGGATTGCCTGAGCTTACCAGTTCGAGACCAGCCTGTGCCAAAGCGAGACCTTGTCTCTAAACATTGCCAGGCACCTGTAGTCCCAGCTACTTAGGAGGCTAAGGCAAGAGATTCTCTTAAGCCCAAGAGTTTGAGGTTATTGTGAGCTAAGATGCCACGGCACTCTACCAAGGGTGACAAAGTGAGACTCTGTCTCAAAAAAAAAGAAATGTTTAGGCTCATGTTCGCACATTGAGCCAGTGACCAGTGAAGAGCAAACCTTATCACTGATTTGTTAGGGCCAGAAAGGGCTATGTAGCCAACCGCCCTGTCAGGGTGAGGGGTGGCCCCCTGCTTAGTTATGTATTCTGGGATCCAAAAGGGCACAGGAGTTAGGCAGCCACTCACCAGTGTTCTTTTGAAAGTAAAAAGAAACAACACATTGGGAAGCTACAGCTTTCACTGACATGAAGGAGACTCACTCTGACCAGGACTCCAGAGCCTCTCATGCCCTGTCCTCTGGCTCCTGACTGTTCCTTCCAGCTGGCTAGGGGCCTGGGCATGCTCTGCCATCAGTCCCAGCCAGTGGAGGGAAACACACATCCCGGAGCCCCTGCACGAACGTGCCCCACCATCACCTGGGACTACCCCCATCAGGGTGTGGAGCTCACGGCCCAGACCTCGTGCCTGAGCCCCTACACGAGCGTGCCCCACCATCACCTGGGACTACCCCCATCAGGGTGTGGAGCTCACGGCCCAGTCCTCATGCCTGAGCCCCTACACGAGCGTGCCCCACTCCTCACCTGGGAC